AAAAAAAAAAAAAAAAATCTGGAAACCATGGTTCCACCAGAACAGGTTTCGATCTATCTTGTCTGTCAATCTTTAAATTTAAATTCAAATTTGAATTTATTTTACAGTACCTGTTTGAAACCGGAATTGTTGGTTCAACAAAGGGAAAATGAAAATTTTTTGTATGGTTCCATTTTTCCTTGACGTGCTGAACCGAAACCAGCCCATGTAATGTACAGGACCCGTTCAAGCTTGGAACAGTCGGCTTTAGGTCAACGAGCCAGAACAGGCGGATTCGTGGGCCAGAGCAGCCCAGTGGAAGTCTGTCACCAACGAATTTATATCTACCAGAAAGAGAGAAGGGATAAATGAACTAGCAATAAGTGGTTAACATTGTGGTTGTACTAACCTAAATCCTAGGTACAAAGCAAATTCAACAACTTACATAAAACACAGACCAGTTCTCCTGCCTTCTATTTTCAGATAAAAATAGAAACTAAAGGAAGAGACGAGATTACCAGAATGAATGAACAAACTGCAACTATCAAGCAGTACTATACAACTTCCGTGTTCACGACCAGTAGTGTTAAAATATGCTTTTGCGGAGAGTTGCAAGCATTTAGAAGTCAGTACTTGATCACATGATGGCGTAACCAAAGTTCATACATGACCATATGGAATGCATCGTGATCCTGGGGAGGTGTGTTCCACTGGAAGTGCTTCTGCACCTGATAGAATAGTATCATGAAGAATTTCATTTTTCAGACCTCAATAAATGCACGACAATATGCTCGGGTAATGTTGCAAAATTAGGCATCATAGAGCACAACCAAGTATTTTGAGATAAACTATCACCTTCACACTTCCCTTGGGTGACAATGCAAAAGAGGGAAAATGATATAATTCGTGGTTTGCAGTGGAAGACTCGCAAGTAGATAAGGCTAGGTTTGTACCTTCACCAAATTGTTGTGCAGCATGACAAATTCTTCTTGTGTAATGTTCTTAAGAATTTGCTTCAGTTGATAGACATCTTTCTCCTTTAGGACTACTGAGAACTTGTGCCAGTTCAATATGTCATTGAAAGGCAAGTCATAGTAATTAGAGAGTATCACTGCATGAAATCCATGCAAAGTTGATCAGAGATAGTTATAGTACAATGAATTCTTATAGATGCAAACAAGCTGCAGAATGAGAAGTAACTTAGTAATGATTTTCTTGAACTAAACAAATTTACATGAGCCACAAATGTAATCAAGCAGATAATGAAATAACAAGCACTACTAATCATGTAGACGCTAACTGATCTTTTCTGGACTGGAGTTCCTTTACTATCACAGCAAATCACAGCAAAATAGGAGTAGCTTGAATAATAATTTAGGTGGCAACCTTAGCCTGGAATTGAGGCCAACTGGTCCATTAGCGAGATATTCAAAATTTACAGTGAAAACAACTGGGTCAAGAACTATGCATGTAAATAAAGGACAAAATGAAGTACAATCATAAAAGGATAAGTGAATGAGTTATTCAGACCGAGGATCAGAACACAATAAATGAAAATTGCAGAACTAGATGTAACAGATTTACTCCATTTTTATTATGAGCATTGCTTGTTTAATCTTTTTTATGACAAAATTATTAAATATGTTACTAGGTATGAGTGAGATTAAATAACCTTACAGAATTTATATTCACTCATATTTTCATGAATTGTTAAAAATTACATCTCATTAGGTCATCATACCTTTTTATCATAAGTTAGAGATGGATAATATTTAGAACCCTAAGAGTTCTGAAAGAGTAATTAGCTGGAATCAGTATCAATCTTCCAAGACTATGATGAAACTCCAAACTAAAAAAGAACTATACAACAGAATGCTCCCTGAAGAGTGAAGATTAGATTCTTGTTTCAATTATCACGAGTATTTTAGTTGTTCCCACTAGAACAGCAGAACAGCTTATAGAAAAAAGAAGACTCCAGAACCAAATGGCAAAATTTCGGGCATTGGATGAACGACAAGGAATCCTTAAACACATTATTTCCATATGCTATGGAGTGGAGAAATTGGGATTGACATTGAAGGGAGAAATCAGGATTAATACTCACCAGGTATGCATCCATAGTGAATAGAGTCAGCTACACGAGCACTATTGACTTGAGAGCCACCAGGGCAAATGCAAAATTTTGTTCTGTAAAATCTCTTCTGATACACCAGATGTCCAGTTGCCCTGTTAATTCTATTATTTGAAATATCAAGTTCAGTATCATTTTCCCATACTTGCGCCAGTATGACCCTAATCTTGGAATTCCTATGTCCTGCCCAGAAGCCGAGTGTCGTCCTACAACAAAATGGACCCAAAAAAAAAAGAGGGATATAGGATGTCGATAGGAAGCTCAAAAAAGCGCACATAAGAAACATACTTAAGGGGGGTAGGGGAAAATTAGGAGTTTACATTGCAGATAGTTACCTATTCTCTATGTCATTTCCTCCAGCTGGAAGGGCAAAAGGCTGAAGAACTTGTGGGAGTGCAACATCTTTGTGTGGTATAAAATTAACATCATAGCTAGGAGAGCACACAACACGAATGGAGTTTTTCACGAGATTTGGAAGGCCTTCAGTGGCTCTCACTCCTACATCATGACAAGTAACAAAGAAGTGATCTGCGCCCAAAGTCCTATTCCAATAAGGGTACTTGTTCATCAAGCTCTCCACATAGTTTTGGACTATTATGGTCATATTCTCATACGATATGCCCTGCACAAATTTGCAAGATTCAGATATCAGTAATCAAGTCCTCAAATCTTGTAGGAGTGAAACCAGTACAACTCCACTGCACAGTAAGTTAGTAACTCCTCGTAAGTCCATCAAATGGAAACCTAGAATAAGCCTTCAGGAAATAGACAGACATTCTCATTATGTTTTAATCTAAAGTACATGCACAGTTTTTAAAAGACAATAGGTGGTAAAGAACTTATTCGAAGATGTATGCGAAGCACAAATGAGAAGTCGGCATGGTAACAGAGCTTGTAATGAACGTAAGTGTGGATGAGGGCAAAAATTTATGCATAGAAGGACAAAATAGTTAAGGCAGATGGAACCTAAGTATGACGAGTTATCATTTTTGGATGCAGTATCACATCCAGGAATTGGTGTAAATGGAAAACCGGGCAGAACTTAAAAACAATAATATAGGACCAGAAGAACTTGTTGGAATGGGTGGACATGGACAAATGTCAAACAGTTGATCATATTACTACCTTTTTCACTGAGATGAGGTGGACATAACAGCTATGGTCAAATAATATCAAATGAAATTAGTTGAATGCTATACAAGGTAATAAGTATCACAATATCACACTTGGATAAGAAGGTGGTAGGCATGGTGACGAGCATAATAACATCATGAACTTGGGATCTTTGGCAAGTCCAGCAAGCAAGATAACAGAACAGTAAACCAAGAGTTAAAGTGCGTAATCATACTGGGAAATGGCATAACCTGCCCCTCATAACCCATCGAAAAGTTTCTTAGGAACTCTTGATTAATGCTGTTAAGATTGAGAAGTATACAGTCCCCCACTAATGAGTTGGACATTCTCCAGAGACCACCTTCCATTTATAATAAAAATAACTACATTTCTTCTGGCCGCACATAGAAATAATCTACATTCTAAATGAAGGCAAAGCTGAAAGAAACTAAAGACTAAAAAGACACACCTTGCCTCGCATCTTATGACAAGAGATTGGGATAAAGAACAAATCCGCCCGATCCGGATCATCCGTTGTGAATTTACTCTCCCTGAGATTCTGAAAAACGTATCCCTCGCTGGCGTATTTTCCGGTGAGCTTTCGCGGCGTTTGGTAATAAGTATTCGGATCTCCATCGGAGTATATGTACACCTTAAATCGCCTCATCATCTCCTCATAATTCAACCTGAACACCTTCGGCAGATGGTAAACGTCGTCTTCCACGTCATCACGCGGGTCTCGTCCTTCCTTTTCCGGCACGACCACTTTCTCGGCATGATCCACGCCGACATCTCCAACAACCTAAAGGACAGAAAGAAAGATGAAGCTAAAAGTTTACTGGAAATCAACAGATTCCATAGACCAAAAAAGGATGCAGATGGCGGTACCTTGGGCAGAAGGTGTTGTACTGTGAGAGGGGATGGTGTAGCAGAGAGGGATGATTGGAGAGAAGGGGAGTGCAGGGGTTTAAGAGAGAGGTAAGTGAATGAGACGAGGGTTAGGATAGAGAGAGTGAGAAGAGAGCTTCGGATAGTGCATACTGCGGCGGAAGGCGGTGGCTGAGATAGTTTCATCGCCGACATTGCCGGGGTAGAGCTGGTGGCTGCCGGGGATCGTTTAACAATGGTTTCCAGTATATTTGATCGGATTTTCCTGTTGTGTAGCTTCTGTGTTCAATTAACAAGCAGTGCACGCGGATTATAGTATTTATCAGGAAATCAATGTTTACATTATGATAAACCTAATTTATATATATGTTATGATCTTCAATTATATAATTCACATTATATTTAATTATAATCCACTAAAAACTTTGGCAAATGAGTTGGCTTGGACATTACTTCATGTTTATATAAAGATAAAAGTTAATAGTTATATTTATATTTACAAATAAAAAATTATTTATTTATTAATTCTAATTGAACACGCTCTAAGTAGACATCAACGCTTCAATATGCCCGGTTCCAGATCGAAGGTGATATGGCACATAAAGTGTGAAACGGTTCACTTGGTAGACACTCGATCCAGTTTTTATGGACAAGCCCAGTTCAGTAATGAGGCGGTCCCTGGAAGCCTTAGTGCTTGTTTTCTTCAAGGCCCTGCAGATTAGTTTACTAAGTGGGGGTTGCTCGGTCCATTCAGTGAACGCGGATTAGTGAAGAGTGACTTGCTCGGCCCATGTGGCGGCGGTATAATGGGCTCGGCCCATAAAAGAATAAGGGTAATGATGAATTAGAGGAATGAGACGGAAGAGAGGTGAAGCGTGGGGCACAAGCTAAGCCCTCAGGTATAAATACGCAGACGAGAAATATGGTAAAGGGAGGACACTCTATAAACCCTAACCCTACTTACAGTTACATATGATTCTCTTATACTCTTCTATTCCTTACTGACTTGAGCGTCGGAGAGTTACCGCCGGGAACACCTCCCGGCGTCATTGCAGGTCTTCGAGAGCTTGAACCGGGCGAGGAACAGAAGGGAACCGAGTTGAGGTGTGGAAGTGTTATCAATTGGCGCCGTCTGTGGGACTAAACTATTTTCTCTTACCGATTGAGGATGACGAACACAATCGCGGATAACCAACCAAGGAGGATTTCGGACGATAGTTTGGAAGAGGCATGGGTAGCAAGGACACCCTACGGTGGAGGGCCGCCAAAAGGATGGGTTGCTGGAGAGGGCTCGATGACTACTCCTCTTGTTCCCCCGTCGGATCAGGAGAAGGGATCGGCGACTCAAGGAGTGGGCCAGGAGATAGTAATACGGGCATCGGTGCCAGAGGCGGTACCAGAAGGTGGAGAACCAAGGGTGCAGATGACCAGAGAAGAATTGGATCGCATCGTCGCGGAGGCGGTATGTCGGGCGTTGGTTGCACGAGACGCGGCGATGAAGGAGAAGCATACCACCATGATAGAAAGGTCGGGTGTGGAGGCGGAACGGTCCACTGAAGTGGTGGAACGACCTATTGTGGCCGTGGAGCGACCAATTGTTAGGGTCGAGCAGCATGTCCCCGGGATATCTAGGCCTTTAAGGGGCGGTAGTGACCGCAAAGATGATCAAGGGGAGAGTTCAGTGATATCGCCAGTGGTTCCGAGGCAATCCAAGGATGCACTGATGGAGCAGATGGCTAATCAAATAAAAGAGCTCCAAGCAAGGGTGGAAGGCAGGCGACATCTCAGGATGCAGGGTCATCCCTTCACCAATGACGTTTTGGGTGCCGAC